GTGGACGCCAGAGATGGCGGGGATTACCAAACGCAACCCGGGATTTAGAAACGCGCAAAGAGACATTACCCGTTAAACCATTAGCGCTGATGGTTTCCGAGGTAAACGAACTTGTCTACCACTTCCAGAGAGTGACCTGAAAGGGTAAGGGTGGGAGCAGCTTCTGGCCAGTCTTGTACAAAAACCTTACACTTCGACGGGGCAAAGTCATTCCATTATTGAGAAACAGACACCTCCAACCTGCACAGGACATTTCGGGCGGCCTGGGAGGAATCGCAGATTATGGCGATGTCTACATACTCCAGATGCCGAAGTCGGTCTCTCGCCGCTGGGTCCGCAGTTCTCCAGAGCGCTCTTCAGGATGTCATCTATAGCGGAGGTGAACAAGGGTGATGATGGGCAGCCTTGTCTCACGTCACTGATGATACTAAAGGGAGGCCAATGTTCGCAATACACCCGCACTCGCCCGAGAGTAGATGGCTTGAAGAATATTACTTACGTGTAGGAGGATTTGAGTTGCAGTTTCAATGTATTCGTCCCATCAGCTCAAAGCTACATAACCACAATCTGGAAACGCACCAGACACGTTTCGCCCTATTGGGACTCGTCAGTGGTGCACAATCCCTCGGTCCCTTACTGGCGATCGAATCCATGACCGCTAGAGGCTGACGCTAACCGGCCAGCAGCTCAAGCTACTGAACGATGGGGGACGGCGGTTGGGCTACATAACTTGCAAGCGAACTGTGTTACAGCTCAGCGGGCACTCCACTTCTCAGCAGACAGCTCCGGAGAGCAGCTCGGTCAACTGAGTCAAACGCGGAGCGTATGTCTAAGAAAACAACGATCGTTGGTCGGCCGAACGTTTGACGACGCTCGAGTAGTTGGCGGAGAGTAAAGATGTGGTCGATATAACTCCGGCCAGAGCGGAACCCAGCTTGTTCTTCGCGTATATTCCGTTCGCGCACCAAGCTGAGCCTCTTTAAAAGCAGAGAGGCGAGCACTTTAGATGCAACGGAGATGCCATTAATTCATCTGTGCTTAGCATAGTTTGTCCGGACACCCATTTTGAAGACCGTCACGATATCCGCTGGATTCCAATCAGACGGGATCGCTTCCGTGGTCTAAACCCCTTGGAGACGGGAAGTTAACTTCCGAACAAAGGATGGACCTCCGTCTTTGAAAAGTGCCGGAGGGAGTTCATTTGGGCCAGGGGTTTGTAGCGCTTTAGGAGGCAAAGCTCATGAGCAGCATCAGCCACAGATGGTGGTGAAGCGTCTACACACCAGGGAGCACTCTGGTTTCCTGAATGAGAGCACATCGGTGCTACTGGCCAGTTAAACTACTGCTCAAAATACTCGGCCCATAGCTCAAGTCGTCGTTTTTGACCGTGAATTGGTTTCGCATAAAACTTTGTTTACAGTCGGCCTTTTGCCGCCAGTGATTTGGATCAGGGGGGAAGCTTTCGGAAATTCCCCAGCTGTCTGCCTGCTCCATTTCAATGACCCGTTGCGTCCACTAGGCATTACAATCCTTCCGGAGACGCTGTTTGAGTTCCGTGTTGGGTGTCCTGCGTAGTGCATGACACTCAACGCCGGCTGAAACTGCCCGACGAGCTGCGAGAAGTTGGAGAAATCGTGCAGAGATTCAGTGGTTGACAGGACTACTGGTGAAACCACGGACTAAGGTTGCAGAGTTGTATATGTCGCTGCGGATGTGCGCTTAGTTCGTTTCAACGTCAGAGCATGAGGCGCTTTTGAGATTTGAGGCCAACGCATCCTAAACACACTGAGAGCGCTTGGGACAGAAAGCTTAGCTACGTCAAGTCGTTTCCGGCTGCGTCGTTGGGAGTCACCAAAGCGTAAAGCGACCTTGGCACCCACATGTGCATGATCTGAATTGTGGTAAGTACTCCAGATTGATTCTGTACGCAGCCGCGCCAGCGATTACTGATGGCGATGTAGTCGATCTGCGTCCATGGCTTGCCAGGACGCGGAAGTCTCCCGGTGGAGCGTTGGCGCCAGGATTGCCTAAAGCTGTTACTCGACAGGAATAGGCCGTGATCGGCGCAGAGCTGTAGTAGACGATCACCGATGTCTGTTCTGCAAGTGCTATGGCCATGTTGACCACCGAATTCACGCTCTTCAACCTCAAGTCTACCGACCTGCGCGTTTAAGTCACCCGAAAGCAATAAGATATGTTTACGACGCTTTTTTAGAGAAGGTCGGACAGTGGACAGTAGAACTCGTCTTTAACTGACTCCCGGCTGCACTCTGCGGAATGATTCGCTGCTACAACGAACAAGCAACGCCTGCTAGTCCCGCGACTGGAAAGTCGCACTGAGGTCTCAAGTAAGATGCAGCAGAGTCGGTTGTTGACAGAGATCCAATCTAGTAGCGCCGCCTCACCACATGTGCTCAACGCGATCTCCACACCGGCAAGCCCAACGGCTTCGGGGATTGCGTCTCCAGCTAACCGCAATGTGGAATTATCAGTGGAACTCGCAGATAGCCAAAACAGTTGTAGCGTCGTGCTAGGGTCCAGTAATCGGGTTTCAGCGAGGCAGCAAACGTCAATGGCAGTGGTCTCAAGCGTGCGACCAAGAGCTGCTTGTGATCCGATCTGATCAGCGTTCGGACGTTGAAAGTTGCCAGCTTGAATTGGAACGGGCCGCTAGAAAAGGCTTGCCAGTACTACTTGGCAGCACACCTCGGGACCTAAATTCCTGATCCATGTGGAGAGAACGCTTACTTAGGGCGGCACGATGTTGTGGACTCAGAAACGGAGGAGGATTACCAAGGATGGGGGAACAAACGTGGAATAAAGTAACCGAACTGTGGTGCGGTAGTGCGCGATATGGCATGTTCAGCCGCCAGCATCTCGGCCGAAGAAAGCATGGTCAAATAGGGGAGAGAGAAAGCAGAGTCGTTGAAACACTGGTCCATAAGTTCGGTTGGCATGTAGCTTCCCGGTTGGGTATCACACAAGATACATACGGGGCGCGCTATTTTCGGTCAAAATGTTGTGCAGTAATGATCTGTCGGGGCTCCCAAAGGCGTTGATGTAATCAAAAAATAGAAGCCGTACGCTCTTGCATCTACTGTTTAATGCCAACGCATTGGAACGCAACAGATAAGAAACGGCATCCAATGCAGAGCGCCCTGGTCTACAAGCAAACAGTTTGACACGTTCAGCATGACTGCTTTTGAAAATGCGGAGAATCGGCAATTTCCCAGCACGGTACGGATGTGCACGCAACTGGCCGACATTACTGAGATCCACTTTTAGGCACTGGTGTTATCGTAGCTGATTTCCAAATGTCGGGAACGGTATCAGTCGTTAAGCACCGATACAAGATCTTTGTCAGAGGTGTCTTTAAACTGTTTGTGCATTCTTTCAGAACGATGCTGATAAAGCATCCGGTCCACTGGCCCTGTTTGGCATCAGTCTTGCAAGCTCCTTGTAAATAATTGTGAAATCAAATAAAGTGGAAGGCTCAGTAGTGGCGAAAAAAAGCTGGTGAGTGTTCTAGGTGATGAGGAACTGAACTTGGTGTTGGGTATATCCACATTCTTAGTGTTAAGGTTTCTGAAGGGATGCTTTCCGGAGAATTGTCCTAGAATCCTCTCCAGGTCATGATAACTGTGATTGCCTAAAATGGTCTGAATGTACAGAGTATTTAGCCATTTTATTTTGGCTTTTATAACCTAGGACAGACGTCTAATACGAGCAGTTAGCTTATGCTTGCAAGCTTGCTCCATTTTCGTTGGAGGAAACCCGGATAGTGATTCAAGAAGACAGATCGAGTTGCAAGATAGATTTTAATTTGTACAGTTGATGGTTCCCTGTTGGTCTAGCTATAAAAAAGACAACACCACGGAATGCAAACGGGAGCGAGCACGCATTGCAATCGAAACGAGCGCCAAGCAAAACAGCGATATTCGACTAAAGCAATCGGACTGAACAAAAGTTTACAATGAAATAATTATTTCAGTTATAATTCTACAGTCATACCGGGAGAAGATCCAGACTGCCAAATAGCCCTCCCCAGAAGGGACTGTATAAGCAGTCCTTCCATCTAAGTGAGGACTGTCCATCGCAGGCCATTCTTCTGCGAGACCAGGTTGTGAAATCTGATGCAGCTGCGGGTGGACAAAAATATGCAGTCGAACCCTAGCTGGCTCCCACCCGTGTCCTTCTTACGGTGTCAAAATGGAAAAAAATATTTGTGGGGGGGAGGGGCAGTTCGTTACGTTTTATATAACTAGTGGAACAGGAATTTCATTGTTAAGGTGCAGTGATTCAGCGAAGCGTTCAACGAAGAGATAACCAAGCAGCGCTCAACCGACAGTGGGGATATGGAAAGCAAAATGAAAAAGAGCAGCATAAATGCGCAGCAGTACACAGAAGAGTGTACGGAGAAAACGCACCAAGCCGTTTGTTCCTTTTTTGTTGGCTTCAACATGTTTAAGTATCTTTTGCAAGTTTTGGAAAACGTTTGTAGGAGCATGCTAGCGTGAGAAGCATGCTCCAAGTAAAATGCTAACAAAATCTGAGAAACGCACATGAGGTTTGTTTTCCCTACCACGTCGATTGAGGTCGGTTGTGGCCGTAGGTTCCGCTGGAGCGGAGTGACTGGTATGAGGTTGTGGCGTTGGCCGCGATGGTGCAGGCTGAGAAGGCGCTTGTTGCACAGAAGAGTCAGAAGTAATACGCTGAAGCTTGTCTATGTCGGGATCAGCTAGTTGGGCTACAGCCATGGCGGCTAGATCGATGATGGTATTAAGTGCCAAACTAACTTGATTCATGCGTGAAAGAGCGTACGAGACGGGATTAAGAGCATCTGAGGCATGTCGTACGTCTGTCGTGAAATGAGAAATGTAATCAAGTTTCCCGCGGTGATCACTTGTCGGTCGCGCCATTGTTTACGTAGATTAATGGCTTATGGTCAGTGAAGACTATAAAATGTCGATTTTCGATATAGTGACGGAAGTATCTGATACCTAGATAGATCGTTCGTAGTTCCCTACCGAAGGTGCTGTAACACGATTCGGGAGGTTCAGACGTTTGGAAAAGATACCTAAAGGTATCCATCGGTGGCCGATGAGTTGTTGGAGAAATGCACCGACGGTGGTGTCTAATGTCTCAGTCTTCAGAGAAAGAAGTGCTGCTGGGTCTGGATGAGCGAGAAGCGCTATGTTAAAGATAGCGTTTTTGAGCTTCTCAAAAGCCAGTTTATCGTCGTCTGGAAAATGAAAACAGCGTTGATTGCCACGGAGCAAGTCCGTCATAGGTAGCATAATGCTCGCGCAGTTAGGAATGAAATCTCTGTAACAGTTAACTAGGCCAATGAATCGGTGAAGTTGTTTGAAGGAGATAAGAGCGGGATAGTCCTTCAGTGCCTGGATTCTGTCTTGTAGAGCTTCAATACCAGCAGAAGATACTTTGTGGCGAGGAAAGTCGATGGAGCTTTGGCTAAGTTTGCATTTGTCGAAGTTGACGATAACAACAGGTTGGGTCAATCGCTGGAAAAGCGCTTCAACGCGACGGAGATGTTCATCGTCAGAGGAACTGGCGATAAGAATGTCATCCAAATATGGATAAATGCTTTCGAGTCCCAGTGTCACCACATGAATGAAACGCCTAAACGTTGGGGCAGCGTTATTGAGGCCAAACGGCATTCTGAGGTACTCGAATAGCCCAAACGGTGTAATGACCCCTGTTTTAGGTGCGTCGTCTGACGCTACCGCTAACTGATGGTAGGCGCGTAGTAGGTCGATGTTGCGAAAGATCGACTTCCCAGCTAAAGCTGAGCTCAAGTCGTGCATATGCGGAATAAAATGTTATCCGGGACGGTAACTGGTAAGCGCTCTGAAGTTACCACAGGGGCGCTTATCACCGGATATCTTTATTACCAAGTGTAATGGTAAGCCTATAGACTCAGACAGGCGGATTATTCCCAGTTCGAGCATTCGCTCGAATTTCGCCTTGGTCGCTTTAAGCCTGTTCGGGGTTAGTCTGCGAGCACGGGATATTAGTTGTACTTAGCGTAGTCGGTAGTAATACTGTGGTTGTAAAACTCTTCCTAAAAAATAAGCAATCAACAAAAGGGGATCCACGTACCAAAAAGATGGGGACAAACGGATATTCAACACTAACGGGAGACATTACCTTATGGTCTCCAGAATCCATAATTTAGAAATTGCTAACGAAAAAAGCTAACGCACAGGAAAACAAACCGAGAAATATGAAAAAATAAATGGAACGAGCTTACCGGAAGAAAAAACGAACTATCCGGCGTTGAGTTTCTTCCAAAGTCGAGGTCACAAATTTAGCGAATTCAGAAGACAAATCGGGTTACAGGAATACTTTTACAAAACAAAAGATCCCCTGTTTGCCAAGTAATAGAGAAGCAAGCGGAGCACGTAGGCTGTCTGCTACATGCAAAGGTCATTAGCACGGGATTGGTACCACCTTTGACCTTTCCGCCGAATTTGGGAATCGAGTTCGAATTGATCGGCCAGCAAATACAAGCCCGCATCAAAGGAATCGAACTATATACAAGTAAGTAAGTAATCTAAACAGTCTAGCAACTAGACATAGAGCCAGCAAAACCATGGAGATCAGTGGATAGAGGACAATCATTGCGTCATAATCATCGTGGCATGGTAGTTGAAGGTGGGCAACACACTTCAGCTATTATGCCGCAAGAATGGAACATTTTGACAAAAAATAGAACAAAACATTTTTGGTATGTTTGCCACACGCCGATTTTTTTTCTTATTTTGTTGTTTTCAATGTTCGTAGTATTAAACATGTGATTCCATACAATACTGTACACAATTCTTCCAGTGATTCCGGTTGCGGGCCATGTCTTCAAGAGTCCTAAGCCATTGACACTCCTCATCTTTGGGTCCCCTTCCTGGAAGACGTACGGATCCAACAACGGTTAGACACGACGTCAGCGATTTCATGTGCTGCCGCCAGACAGGTCCCTGACGAGCAAATAGAGCGCGACGCGGTAGACGCTCAGGTGCCATGCGTAGGACATGACCGAGCCATCTCAACTGGCGCAACAAAACCAGTTTGTTGAAGGGAATACTCGCATTCCCCAAGATGCGACGTCGAACGTCATTACTATTAACTCGATGTTGCCACCAATCACGATCAATCCTCCTTAAGCAATCGGCATCGAAGGCAGAAAGACGACGCATGTCTTCCACGCGAATCGGCCAGGACTCGCACCCATACAACAATACTGAGCGAACTGATGCGCTGTAAATGCGGCCCCTTAGTTAGAATGAGACGTCACGACGACGCCACAAGTGCCTCGGATTGACAAACGCTGATCGAGCTTTAGCGATGCGAAGAGAAACTTCTTTGTTAATAGTGCCGTCAGCAGAAACAGCTCCCGAGGTAGACGAAACTATCTACCTGTTCAAGTTGTGCACCTTCGAGAGTGAGCACGGGAGCAGGTGAAAGCCAATCCTTGAGCAGTACTTTGCACTTCGATGGGGCGAAGCTCATGCTATACTTAAATGCTTCAACCGCCAAACGATCCAGAATGAGTTGCATACTCTGAGGATCGTCACCAAGTAAGGCAATATCATCAGCATAATCTAAGTCGGTCGCGCGCTCACCCGGTAGGAGCTCTAGGCCAAAATGTTGGAAACCTTCTAGGGCATTCGACAGAACGTCTTCGATTGCGAAGTTGAAGAGGAATGGGGACATAGGGCAGCCCTGTCGCACACCGCTATTGACAGCGAATTGCGAGGAAAGCTTGCCATAGACCCTCACCCGGCCGGATGTATGAAGGTAAAGTGCTCGTAAGATGGCGGTATATTTCTCTGGCACCCCGTTCTTTAGCAAGCAACGCCATAAAGCAGGTCGATCAACGGAGTCAAAAGCGGCACGTATGTCTAGGAATGCAACGATAGTGGGCCTGTGATAAACGTGGCGATGTTCAAGGAGTTGGCGGAGCGTGAAGATTTGATTCACGCATCCGCGGCCAGGACGGAAACCAGCTTGTTCTTCACGGTAGTACGATTCACGTACTGGGGATAGTCTACGAAGCAGAATGGATGCCAATAGCTTAGAGGCATCCGAAATAAGACTAACCTCGCGGTGATTTGCACATGAAGTACGAGCACTTTTTTGCAAATTGGGACAATAACTGATTCGCACCAGGAAGAAGGCACTTTCTCTTCATGCCAAATTTTTGCGAACAGCGCGGTTAGCTGGTTAATGATCGCCACACCGCCGTACTTGAATAGCTCCGGAAGAAGTCCGTCTAAGCCGGCAGCCTTGAAGCGCTTCAAGCGTCGAATCTCGAGGCAGACTTCTGCTTCGCTGGGTGGATTCAATGGGACGAGCCAGGGTGGACACCAAGGTGTACTGCATGTACTGATGGATGGCGGAGGCCAGTTGAACTGCGAGTGAAAGTGCTCGACCCAGCGGTCCATACGCCTCTGTTGGTTGGTGATCAGAGACTCATCCACCTCACAAATGACCTCACTGACACCAGGCTTCCTGAAGCCAGTGGACTGAATGAGTTGGAAAAGCCTGCGAGTGTTGCCAGATAGGGAAGCGATCACCATCTCTAAAGCACGCTCAGACCACCATGTCTCGCGATCCTTGCGTAGGCTTTGCTTGAGCAGCCGGTTGGCAGAACGGAGCCGCTCGTTGCAATCTGATTCCGCGGGGATATCTTTGCGGCGTTCGAACAGCTCCAGAGAACGAGCAGAGATCCAAGACTTCAAAGGGCGTCGAGTTAGACCGCAGCATGACTGTCTGGAAAGAGTCATCGCTTTCCGTATACAAGTCCAGTGCTGTTCCACTTATTGCGGTGGATTGCAACTGAGTGCATATGCCAAAGGAATCAGTTAATCTGTTTACATCAATCTTGCGGTGCTTCGTGTTTCGGGATCCTCCAAAATACATACAGATTTTCACGCAGACCAGAGCATGATCTGAGTCAACGAAAGTGGACCAAAAGGACCTGCAGTCCAGTACGCTGCCGCGCCATCTGAAGCTAATTGCAATGTGATCAATTTGAGACCACGGTTGTGTTGACGAAGGGGGACGCCACGTTGCGGAACGCTTCTTCGTACGCCTGAAGCTAGTGCTCGAAAGAAACAGACGGTTGTCTTCGCACAATGTGAGAAGTCTCTCTCCGTTATCAGAGCGGTTCTCATCGAGCGAGTGATGACCACCAAGGTGGCGTTCGTATGGTAACAGGCGGCCAACCCGTGCATTGAAATCCCCAGCAAGGATAACGACATCCGACATTTTAGCATTAGTCAAGAGCTGTTGTAGATCTCGGTAGAATTTGTCCTTGACCGAGTCGCCACTGCAGTCAGTTGGAGCGTACACAGAGATCACAAACAAGTTGCGTCTCTCTTCGCGGTGCCTGTTGATTCTACATGAACCCCGAAGCCTAACTGCACACAGTCGGCTGTTAATCGGGAACCAGTCCAGTAGTGCCGCTTCGGCCTTGCCACTCAGTGCTATACCTACACCAGCCAAACCCGCTGAGGCTGCTTCTGGATTTCCAGAAAGACGCAGGTGATATCTGGCTTCGTGGTCAGTGGGGGATGTCAATGTAAGCACAGTGCTGGGATCTTGCAATCGGGTTTCTAAAAGGCAGCAGACATCAATGTCTAGAGAATCTAGGGTGCGCGCTAGACCGGCTTGCTGTCCAATCTGCATGAGTGTCCGAACGTTGAAGCACGCCAGACGGAACGAGGATCGGGGACGAAGGAGAGCCATAGGTTGAACTCCTTGATCTGCGGAGCAACCGGAATCGCAGCCAGATTGTTGAACAGATGAATCGGGTAACCGAAAGTGAGGATTGTTAGCAAACAAACAATTGGCGTGTGATGGAGTAGCGTGAAAGTGAGTAGCAGGAACAGTAGCTGATGAGCGCGTTGTAGTACAGTCCATGGTTTTGTGAGAGGGCGTGATACTACCCGGTTGCCCAAGCCGAAGTAGGGAGTTGACTTAGGGGACTCCACCCCGAGCCTTTGGCTAAATGACCTACCCGCAAGGTAGCGGGGTGAATTTAGGGAATCGCGCCCACTGGGAGGCGTTGACTGAATGATCAGTTCATGCGACTTTGTTTGGTAGATTACCAAGCAGGGGCCCAATACTCCCCATGGAGTCAGCACAATTGCTGGAATACAATGCCCCACGGAGGTGGAACATTGTCGCCGAACACTTTGCTGGAATGGGGTACACCCGAACCACCCAGCTGGCACCACGAGGAAGTAGTTCGGCAAGCCAGCCATCGAACTATACCCTCAATATTGTAAACCGGTAGAGCGGAATTCACTCACACGGGCTGAAAACCAGACGCAGAAGAGTGAGTGATGTTGACCTACAGAAATTAGCATTTTTCGTTTACCAATAAATAGAGTTGATCTATCCTGCAGATATACTATCTGTCTGTTGAGTTCTGGTCTCTTATATTCCTTCGGTTGGTTGGGCGCGTGACTGAGCAGTCAGACAGTCGCAGTCACGCAGGAGCAGAAAAGCAGCAGTACAACAGTTCATTGTTCAATCGAAACCAGAAGTGGCAGCCAGCTTCGAACAATTACAGACACGTGCAGCAGCAGGCCAAGCTCATTAATATGTTGACGCAGAAGTCCTGGGTTAGGGGGTAAGTGAAAGTGTCCCCTTTCCAGAAACCCTGACACAGCAGATCCGTGAAATGCATTATGATGTGGATGCTGGCGTGACATTCGTTTCCTGATTTCACAAGTATGAAGATATGTTTTGTGTGGATTTCGCAAATGTACCAGAAAAGAAAATTCGCCTGATGCTTCGGAAG